CCAATTGCCAAATGTTTCACTTAAAAGAAGGCACTAATACAAAGAAACTTCCTCTTCACTTTAATTAAAGACTTTTAGAATTATTATAAAACTTTTAGTTCATTGTGATTTACAGTTAGATGTATATAAAAATTGTGTTTCTCAATAGTGAATTGAAGAAACCATATACATAATATAACCAGAGAATTTTGAGTATAATGAATCAAATCATCTTGTTTGCATATTAAAGAAGTTCATTTATAGTTTTAAGCAATCATTATGTCAATAATATTGGGAAAGTGATCACGTACTTTAGTAATAAGGAAGAATTATTTATCAATGTATTTATCACAAGATCCTTGCTAGCTAATAGTAATATATGACTATTGCATGAGAAAAAGGACTTCTTTTAAATAATTTTGAAAGGGAAGATCTTGGGAATGATTTTTTTTGTTGGACATACATATCTATTATGATCATTAACAATACTTCGCTGATCACAAAAGGCGTATATGAATAAAGACTTCAGTATATTTAACATGAAAGATTCAACATTAGGAGATATACCCATTGTTAAGAGTAATAAATTTAATTTAATTCAATGCCTAAAAAATGATATTGAGAGGAGGGATATAGAAAAGATTCATTATGCATCGATAGTAGTGACATGCATGATTAAGTTTGATACATCCAAATATTATGTGCGTAATAACAATGCATAGTAGATATCTTATAACTCTAGAATGGATTATGAGAAAGCAATAAAATGGGCTATATAATGGCTACAGAGAACAAAAGATAACTATAGATCAAATTGTTTAGAAATTGTGGGGTAACTCTAACCCTGGTGGTTTCCTCAATTGTAAGAGATCCACTTAGGGTTATATTTTCATATTTTCTTAAGGAGCTATAACAGAGAAGAGTGTTAAACACTTCTTAATAGTTTTCTCAAACATGAAAATTGAACTTATAGCTTCTTATGAGGCATCAAACCTAACATCTGCTTCCTATAATAGTAATATACTAGTTGCACAATTAATAAATTGATGAGTGAGTATCATTTCCAACGAGGATTGTTTCGATGTGGCTTATAATTAACTATAACTTTTATATTATTTAGGATGTCAAAATAATGAGATGAGTATTTAATTAATTTAAAGTAAATTAAATTTTAAATTAGCTATAACTTTGGTGAGTGCCTTATAAGAGCTAAAGTCATTGAGGAATTAATTTCACTTAATTTAATTGCAATGGTGCGTATTTATGGCTATTTTTTCTTCTCATGCTACATGTGATGTTGAGATCCCTATCTTATAGTTGTCTTCGTTATGGTACTAATTAACTATCTAGTTTGAGATTAAAACAATCAATTCTCCTTACAAGAGCTAAAGTCATTGAGGAATTAATTTCACTTAATTCAATTGCAATGGTGCGTATTTATGGCTATTTTTTGTTCTCATGCTACATGTGATGTTGAGATTCCTATCTTATAGTTGTCTTCGTTATGGTACTAATTAACTATCTAGTTTGAGATTAAAACAATCAATTCTCCTTACTTTCAAGCCTCATCTTATGTTAACTCATCCTATATGCATTAAGTTTTATGGTGGTCTTATAGTTAAGTGTCCCCTCTAGGTTAAGATTTAAGCAAACCATATGAAGCCTCATAAAAGTTGGTTGGACTCCTAATCTTTTTCATGTTATGTCCTAAAAGTCCCTTAGATACTGTGCAACTACCTCTTCAGTTAATAATTGTATAGATCTTCCTTATCTTTTGATTTCTCTCAATAAGGGATGAATTATTGTATTTTATACCTTTGCATGTATGCAAATTTTCTCTTGGTTAATAATAATGCATAACTAAAGAGAATAATTGATTAGCATTAAAAGCACTAAAAACACACTTTGCATGTATGCAAATTTTCTCTTAGTTATATATGCATAACTAAAGAGAATAAATTGAATTAAGCATTAAAAAGCACTAAAAACACACTTTGCATGTATGCAAATTTTCTCTTAGTTAATAATAATGCATAACTAAAGAGAATAAATTGAATTAAGCATTAAAAAGCACTAAAAACACAATCTATGTAAAAACATAATAAAAAACTATAAATCCATGAATATTACATCTTTATAAAAGGTTTAGGTCCATCAATTCCAAACAAAACTAAATTAGTCCATAATAAACTTAAAATCAAACCAAGAAAAGAAAATTGTTCTAGATATATCATATTGTTGAGAGACAAAGAAAAGATTACGTAGTCAACATGTTGCACACTTCATTGGAAGCTTCTTCTTGTTCCCAACATCAAGATCTGCCTAAGGAGTCCTTCCTTCAAGATCCTTCTTTAAGCTTCTTCCAAACTTTTTTTTCCAAAAATTATATAGAATTACTCTCTAAAAGTTGCTTCCCTTTTGGATTATTTTATGGCTCTATTTAAAGTTATGATTGTTGAGAATTAACCTAACAAGGGATTTCTCGCATTGAACTTTTCTAATTTTCCTACTCGACATTGTAGTGCCTAATTTAGTAATAGAATAATTTTTTTTCTTTCCCATGAAAGGACTCCTTTAGCTTTTTGAGCACTGGGAAACCTAACAATCTAGAACTTAGAGAGGGAGGAGGAGGGGTCTTATGGTACCTAAGCCATTTTATCTTCTTACTTTCATCATCTATTTGTCATTTCATCTCAATTTGTCTTAATCGCTCCTAAATCATCAGAAAAATAAACTAAATAAAATTCTTATAACATATACAAATATGAAGCCAGTGAGAAACATTCATTAAAATAAAACTAACTTATCATAAGCAAACAATATGGTTGTAAAATTTTATCACTAGGCTAGAAATAAATAGAATCGATAAAACATTCAAGATGTTATAATCAAGTTTTTGTAGTGTATTCTAAGAACAATAGAAGCTCATTGAAGTTAAAACCCATTAACATAAATTTTCTTGTTATTAAGGAGGGAGTCTAGAGTACTTAAGTTTCCACTAAGCATATTAGCACAAACTTTATGAGTGTGACCCAGTTACCAATGGTGTACTACTTAATGTGTTTCACAAGAATGTAGCTAGTGTGTCTGTGGTTCATCTTAGTAATATTCTTATTTAATAGGATTTTGTTACGTAATCTTCATTTTTATTGACATTTTTCTCTTGTCAAACTTGTGTTGTTTAATGAAAACTCTTTAAGTAAACTTATACTCATTCAATTTTAGTGGTGTGTAAAGTTTTGAAAGTATATTATATTACTCTTGTGAGTTGTAAACTAGAAGTAGCTAGGAATAATGATGTTGGATCATATTAAATCAAATTTTCATGCTACACATCCTTGCTTGATCTATGTTTTTATATTAAACATATGTGGCCATTGATAGATTTAGTTATGAAAGTTATGATACATATCAGTTTGATCCTATACTACATTATTAATGGTCCAAATTATTTGGATACGCTATTTAAAAAAGATAACAAATATTGAACTTATTAAGTTGTTTAATCATGTATAATAGTAAAGGGAAATATGTGGTCCAAGTAGGAGAGTATTAGGAAATAAAGTGAAATATTGTGCCTTATGTTTGTTATCTAATTTTTGGTTCCATTAAATGTGATTACTCAAATAACTAAAGTTGTTGTTTTCTATAGCTTATCTATTAAAATTTTATTGACTTTACAATATATAAAGACCAAAGTTTTATTTTATTTGTTTAATGAACCAAAAATAAAAAAGTAACCTTGTAAATAGGTTATGGTCCCCAATCTAAATAGTTTTTACTTCTTTTTTCACCTATTTCCCCATTTTTCCTTGCCATTGAGTAAATTAAAAAAAAGAGTTGATATGTGGAAGATCATCGACATCAATCTACCGCATTAGAATATATTCATGTATGCTTCAAGTTTATTTTCTTAATTTTATGACTTGACATGAGATCTTATATTTTCGCTTAAACTATTTATCAAGTTATAGTTGTCACTACAAAGCTAACATTATCTATAAACCACACATCCGTTGACATATTGATAAAGTGAGAAAATGCCATGAATAACTTACTCATCATTTTCTTCAGCATAATTCACTTGTTTCTCCTTATACCAACAATCTACTTTTACATGTTCATACTTCTTGCAATGATGACATTAGATGCCACGTTTGTAATTTTTTTACTCAATGAAGGATTTCATTTGCTCAACTCCTCTACTTCTACATTTACCATATGCTTATTAAAGAAGTTCCTTTGCTTAACTCCTTTATTTCTACCGTTGTGACAAACTATTTCTTTCCCTTATCATTCTCCATTTGCCTTTTTTATATTCTCTTGATATTGATGCCACCACTTTCACTTAAAGGAATCTATTTAGCCTTGAATCATGAGTGTGCGATAAATCCATTAATTCATCAAATGAAGGAAAAAATAGTCAGTTGACTATTTAATTAGATCTACTAAAAAGCTTTTAAGAAGGGTTTGCTTCACAATCTCTGGATACCCTATTTGGCCAATCATTAATGTTATTCTAGAGAAAAAGTATTGGACAGATATCTCATTAGTATTTCAAACATTATTGTTACCTTTAATGACTGTTGAATAAAATAAAGTGATTTATTGATCTTGATAATTGACACACACTTATTTTTACACTAATAATGCTATTTAAGTTTTCGAGAGAGTGTAAAAAGCATGACCTAAGAAAGAGGAACAAACTGAGAGAGATTACAAAGAAATTAACAATAAAAGAAATAAATGAAAACTAAGAGAACACGTATTCTAGATTTATTTGTCTTCTACATAACTAGAGAAAGAAGATTTTCTTTGGAAAAGCTCTTTCAAAAAAGTTTTGGTTTTAAAGTTAGCTTCTCATTATTTTTAAAGAGAGTAGATTTGTGAAAAATAATTCTTAGAATTATTTTTAAAATGAGATTTATATATTAGAGGAAATATAAAAGTAAAATACTTCATGAAAATATTTATCTATGTGTCAACAGACATGATTCGAAGAATTACCTCTATATAACTAAAGAATATTGTCTTAAGTGGCTATTATAACTCGAGAAGTAATTTACTATAACACTATACAGAATTTTCAGTCAAAATTGTGTATGTTGTAAGAAAAATAGTATTCAGAAAAATTTAGTGTGACACCCCTATTCCCCCACCAAGAGATTACAGTTAACAACTACTGACTAATTCAAGGAATTAACCAATAACAACGCACATATAATATATTAATGATTAAAATATTCGTCCCTTGAACATATTGTAATAATATTTACAATGAAGTGAGGTCTAAAATATAGGGTCAAAACTATATAATATTACCAGTTCAATAAAGAATATTAAATTCTACCTTGGATACAACTACTAATTATCATTGATCCGATTCTCCCTCTAGATCTATTTTATCTGAATAAGTTAATGATATATTTGGATGAGCTTTCCACGTGTTCAGTAAGTATAAAAAGTAAACTACATCGTAAACATTCAGTATACAACATATAGTCATTTAAAGATGTAAATTCTTTTTCTTTTATTAGAAATCAATGATGAACATAGTAATTAAAATTCCTAATTTACCTCTTTTTGTCTCTCTAAAAAAGACAACTTTTAAACCTATCCGAGCAGTTTCAGCTGTTTGGGTAGTATCCAGAGCTAGTTTTTCAAATAACCTTATCTTCACTTGTTTGCATGCATATCATTTCATAAAATTTTAATGAAACATTTTAAAAATAATGATATGAATGATTTGGGTTGATTACTAATTATACTTATAGACTTTTGAGTAAAAGGATTCTGATTTGAGCTCCAAACATCACCCCAAAATTAGTAGAAAATTTACACAGTAATTAAGACTTCTTGGGTCAGCGATGAACCCAAGAGTTTCATGCAATCCTATTGCATGCACATCTCGTTGCTATGACTATTCTAGTTATTAAAACATTCATCCAATTTAATTTTCTAGGTTTATTTATTTGATTAATTACATAATTTCTTGGATACTAGTTTCTTCTCATTTTATTTTAATTTTACACATAAATTCTTTTATTCAATTTACTCCTAATCTTAATTCTTTTGACCAAGTAATTTATTATTATTCTTAAAGTACTAATTTCTATTTCATTGTTTTTCTTTAACATATTTTATCTATTTTTTTCGTGAGAGGGTGTGGGAATGATCGTTTTAATTCCTGAAACCACAACTCAGTGCATGCAATTCAGAAACTTAATTGCCTAATTAACCTCTCCCTCTATTTTAATCTACAACTATTTATATGGCATGCAAAAACAAAAAACTAGAAAATTTAAAACAAGGAAAAGAAACACGTGGTAGCTTACTCGATAAATTGATCCCAACTTCTCGACTCAACCAGATTTCAAAAAGCTCCCTATCTTAAAAGAACTTGAAGATGCTAAAATTAGCAAAAGTTAAATCTAGAAGAAGGCTCAAAACTTTAATTTTATTGATAAATTGAATTGTGATTACAAAACTTGAACTTAAGCCTTTATATAGGCTTTTATTTTCTATTTCTACTTGGAATAGGATTTAGGATTCCTATCCAAATTTTAGGATCTAAAATATAATTAGAGAATAAATACATAAATAATTAAATAAATGAATCTTATCCTAAGATAATCTAAAATAATAAAAATAAATATTAAGATAGTCTAATTAGATCTTAAATATTTTTCTCTCTTTATCTAAATCTTTAAATACCTTAATTTTTCTTGTACTTCAATTTTAAGTGGAATTTCTCTTCCAATTTTGGCATTTAAATCACATAGATAATTTTTGGAGGACTTAAATCCTTGGAGACTTGGAAAAAAAGAGAAGAAGTCTAAAAGGCCTTAATTTGAAGCTGCCCGTGTGGGTAGCTAGCAATGGCCACGCGAGTCATGGGTCGCAGGTGCACAGATTGAGGGTCGCGTGCTCGTGGCTCACAACATCTCCTCTTGCGTGCACAATTTCATCCTAGGCATGCGCTTGGGCATCTCCGCACATGCTCACGGGCTGCACATCCTTGCGGTGTGCAAGCGCAAGCGGGATGGCTAAGTCGCAGGCTGCTCACCCAGCACATGTGGACCTTCATGGGCATGCCCAATGGGCTTCTTTGACTTGGATCAAGTCTTGCTCCTCTCTAAGATTAGGCTAGCACTTGGACTTCCTTACAATTCTTCATGCCCATTAATCTCACTTGGTCCTTAAGCTTCTGTTGGACAAACATGGCCCATTCCTTGGAATAATCCTGTTTCGGAACATAGTTAGTGATGGAGCTATCTTCCTCTTCAGGATGCTCTAGTTTAGAAAAGTTGAACTTACTTTCCTATTTTGGGCATTTCTGTTTAGGAAATTAAATTTTACTTTCTTGTTTAAATCGATCCCATTTAAGAAACAAAACGATGTTGGAACAATTTGCTTATTTGGCCTGAGAAATGCGGGAATCCCTGTGGGAAAAGGATTCTCCCTCTTCTTGCGCGCATTTTGTACACACGGGTATACGCCTGTGTGTGCACGTCCATTGTGTTGCATGAGCACGACCTCGTACTGCAGTGGACTCGCAGGTAATTATTTCACAAGAGTCCAACTTCCATGGGGTTCCTCTCTGATATAAGATTTCATCTTTAGAACCAAATTTTGGGCATTCAGAATCACATCAATTATTTATTCAATTCCAAAAATAATTTGCAGAATATTTCTTTCCTATTACTTCAAAATTATTTTCTTATAATTTCTATTCCATTCAAAATAAAATCTGTTAGCTTGTTTACATATTTATTAAATTAAAATAATTTTCAAAAATTATTCCTTTTATTATTTTAAATTACCTTTACCTAATTATTATAAATTATGGCTAAATTAACCTACCCATTAATTACATATCCAATTAAATTCAATTCTCATTAATTATTTATTCAATCAAATTCAATTCGCATTAATTACTTATGGAATCAAATTGAATTCTTATTAGTTATTTATTCAATCAAATTCAATTCTCATTAATAATATGTTCAATTAAATTCAATTATGATAACTATCACCATATACCTAATTCTTAATTAAATATTAATCTATTTATTCTTCTCCTATATATATATATATATATATATATATATATGATTATATAATTTCATAGTTTGCACTATTTACACATTATATTAAAGATTTTCATATACTTACATATATATATATATTCCATTTTAATATTTTTATACTTATGTCATATTACATATATATATATATTTATATTTTCTATATAATTCTTTACATATTAAGCATATATTTTCATAGTTTGTACTATATATACATATATATGCCATAAAATCTTACATAAATTTATACTTGCACATATATATCACGCATGTATATATATATATTTACCACACTGTACGTAACATATACACACATATACTCATACATATATATTCTGCTATAAAATCTTGAACACACAAGTATATGAGCATCGATACACACACACACCAGCATATACACTTACTTGCAATCTCATGTGTATTTAATCATATATGGGGTAATTTGTTAGTTTCAAACTTAATTTCCAGTCATACCCTCTCCATTTGTCTCTCGGTATTCCGTCTTTACAAAATTAAGTTGTTGTAATCTATTAAACTAAATAAAAATCAAGCATGCAAAACCATAAAACTTTATCGGTGAACTTAATGGTTATCTTAACCTGAATGGAGAAATGGTCAGGCTTCATGGTGATTCAAAGGTTGGATTCATTCTCGGTTAACCTCCACACAATAAGCATTTAGAGATTAAACAAGCTAAAATAATATAGATGACAGAGAAAGGATGAAGAAAACGATTACCAGGCATCCATTTTCTTCTCCAGCACGGCAGCGTAGCGCTCCCTTCCTCCTTTCTCTGACATCCCACTCTCTCCTCCTTTCTCTTCTGGTGGTTAAAGTTAAATACCTATCCCCAATTAATTTATGGTTGTTGGATTACATCTAAACTAGCCATCTAAGGACCATCAGTTTGCCCTTTATTAAGGGTAACTTAGTCTTTTTCTTCATCTGATGAATCTACGCCGTCGAATTTAAACTCCCATTCATCTAAACTGTTGAAATCTTTGGCTGTCAGATGGCTTCAGGATCAATTACATTTGTCTCTTCTTGCATTGCTTGTTAACCGTGTAATCGGTCAACACATGCCTTAGCCGTTCAATCGACATCTTGTCTGCCAGCCGCACAATCACAATCATCATCTAGGAACTACTGGATTGCATCCAAAGGCGATAAAGATTCTCATCCATCCAATCTACACCAAAACATGTAGGCTGTTTGATCACCCAACATGCGGACCTCCAACGTGTCGAATCTACGTGGGATGTCTTGCTGACGTGGCTACCGCGTGGCATGACCAGATTAGTTGCATTGCCAAGTTAGCAGATGATGTGTCTCATTTATTAAAAATTGTAGAGTGACCCCCCGCCACTTTAAATCATTTCAAATAGGTCAACTTTAATTAAAAAATGGCCCTAACTTTCAGATTTTAATTCAAAAAAGCCCTATATTATTTATTTTATTTATTATTCATGTTTTTCATGATTTTTAGATTCTAAATTAATTATTTCGAAGGTTCTAAATTTAAAAATATTTATAAGTAAAATATTAAAAATATATTTCTAGTTAATTTCTTTTTTTTTACCTACAAATTTACAAAATTATTATTTTAAGTTTTCTAGAAAACTTTTATTTCTTTTCAATGCCCTTTCTTTTACTTAATTTCTCTCCAAAAATGTTTTAATGTACGTCCTAGATTTGGGGTGTTATAAATCTCTCTCCCTTAAGAAATTTAATCCTCTAAATCTTCATTTGTAAAGACCTTGAAACAACCATCCATGTATTCTGTTGGCATATTCATCAACAGATTGGAGTGGTTATAATATTTTGCCTCTAGAGGGATCACTTTAGGTTATGATATCTTCTTTTCTACTTCTTATATATAAGTGTATGTTTGTTTAAGAGTATTTTTGGTACCTAGTTACTTTTATGTTTTCTTCATATAAAGGAATTTATTTTCTAAAATTGTCATGTTAATGATTTTATTTTTCAGAGCACGTCTTTAAGGATTTTGTTTTCTCTCTTTTAAGAATTTAACTTAGAAGTAAGGTCGTTTAAGAAATTGAGTTCCAGTCAAGGGGTGTTGTTACAATATTTTTATTTGGTGGAAACATCTTAGGTTAAGTTGTAATTTTATATTTTCAATTTTATTCAATAAAATAATAGTTTCCAAGTGTGTGTTTCTTCGTTTCAGACATTAGGTTTGATGGTACTTTATTTGAATTTTCTTAAAAACAGTGGGTCTTGTTAAAGAAGTAATATTTAATTTTACAATATATTAATCCTTAAGATTCATGCATCTAATTCATTTATTGGTTTTCTAACTTTAAATAGCTAAAGTGTGATTACTTGCACTATGTTGTTGAGTTAGGGAGTCTATGATTATTACTAAAGATGATTAGGAATTCTTTTGGCAGTAGGTTTATTCAGTAATTTCATGAGTGTTATGTTTAATTCTAATTCTTACAGGTACACTTTAAGTTCCCAAGGGCCTTAAGATATGAGTGACGGCTTTATCACATCATTAATTTCCTTTCGTTGGCTTGGGGAGAAAATTCTTCCAAATGTGGAGATTATGGTTCAACACACTTCCGTTGTGATACTCTAATGATATATTCTTAGGAGGTTTGTCTTGATATAATGATTTGTTATGTAAACATGCCTCTAAGGTCTTCTCTTTAACCCATGGTAATTTATTTAGGAGAAACAGGACTTTGAAAAAGAAGGATTCTTGTTAAGCATTATTTGTTTTATTTATAATAATGGTCTTCTATCTCTTTAAGTATACGATTATTCAATTGCTTAAGATTTTGAATCATTATTGCAGTCTTTATGCAGAATTAAAATAAGAATTTTGGAACAATTAGGGTCTTGGTTTTTCTAAGGGGATTCAAAGAGAAATTTTAGAATAAAATCTTGGATGGCTATTTGGTTCTTATCATATTCAAGAATTATTTTTTTAGAGTGTATCTGTAACATCTCAAATACTAATAAAAGCATAAGGGTACCAAATATAGAAACAGCTTACAAGTGCATAATAGATAATTTTATGCAGCGGAACAAATTATTACAAATTCCTTACCAAAATATATGAGTTCCAATTACACATATATAACTGAGCTCAGAAGTGGCAACAAAATACAAAATATTAAAATAAAAAATGACAACTTCTTTCACTATGCGAATGGACTTATTAAAGTGCAGGACAAGTCATGCACTCAAGGGTTTTGGATCCACAAGATCCTCATAGACTTCAAGGGGTAGGTCAGCGACCAGTTCTTCACTATTTTCATCATCTTAGGGGAGCACAGAAAAGTGTGAGTTCCATATACTAAGTAAGAAAAACAGTATTTAAATAATATCATAAGATTTTAAAAGTAAATAATTATATCATCAACACTTAGCATTAGGGCTCACATTAAGGTCCATTTTTAATTTATGAAGATAATTTATTTATTTATAAAAATATCATATCCATCATGTCATAGTCATAACAATCAATGTAATCATGTTGATAATAGAGAAAATCAAATAAATCATTATATGCTTAAATTTTCGTGTCATGTTTCTCGAAATCATTCTTACTTCCATCTATTGAGGGCAAATACGAATTTTTGACTGCCCATGTGGAATGACCAGATCATATATATAACAACAATTTGCCAACAACACATTTCTGGTTTGCAAAACCATAATACGATCTATGACCACGACCGTGCCGACCATAGTGGTCCTATTAGATATTCTATAGTCACGGCAGTACTTCATCAAAGGTGACCCATAACAGATAATTTGTGTCACCACTTTTGTCAGAGGGTACGTCGTCATCTACAGGGAGTGATCCTCTCATGTCTTTTCAGACCAGATGGGGGATGGAAAAAATAGAAACTCTTCAGAGATAAAAAGCCTAACAAAACACTTGATGCATTATGCATATCAATACAAATGCATAATTTTCATATCATTTCATAGTTAAATCTCTTTTTCACATTTCAGTAATTGATCACAAAAATTATATCATTTAAATTACATGCAAATCATCAAGTGCATATACATCATATAACATGCTTTTA